TTGGCGGCTTTTTGGCCTGCATCGGGAATTCACGTTCGGGAGTGCAGTGTGTCACTTGTTATGCGGTCCTTCAATTTTTTCAAAAAAAGACGAAAAGTTTATTGGTCACACCGTAATAACAACCAACGATCTTATAACGAGCGACAACGCAATGATATTATACGCAAATACGAGTTAGATACACTCGCGCACCGAAACTGAGACACTAAAATTACAAATTAAAATTGGTCTAATTTACATTGCAATTCTATAGACTGCTATCTCTTTCCATATCATCTGTCACATTCACTTATATATGTCATATAATGTAAAGCGACCATACGTCCCGTTTTGAACGGGACTGGCCCTTTTCTCGGACAACTGCCCCTTTGTCCCCGAACAAATCTTCGGGACGCAAAATTGTCCCGTTTTCCGAAACCGCGTGGAATTTTAAAACCACGCTCGTTAGACATGTTTATGAGCATGGAACCGCGATCGGTTATTCCCCGCATGTTTTTCTTTCAATTTGTTCATCAATTTTCTTTTTTTTTCTTTCAATAGGCCACGCGCATGTATTCTGACTTCTTTATGTTTTTGTATAATATTCGTTAAATAGTTTTGTAGATAATTTGGAGTTTTGTTGTTTTGAAAATTTTCCTATAGTTATGGCGAAACCCAAGTGTTCATTTAACGCCAACCAACAAACAAAATACCCATTTAATAAGCAAATTAACACTTCTTCGGATGTCAGAAGCGAAAAGTGTCACACAGTTTAGTGCTTCCCATTGTGGTGCAGGTGATATTGAACAGCTCCAGTTCTGAAGGCAATCCTGATAGTAAAGGTAACATACAACGTACAAGAACGTGCCAAATTTTATTCTTATTTTAAATCGTCACCTTCTTTATTAAAACAAATTTGTTCCTCTGAGAAATATAAATATATATTTAAAAACATTTGGTATGTTTTTAAAAATGTTTTAAAAAAATGGCATTCTACCGCTTCTATCGCTTTATGTCTTCGAAATCGGTATGTTTGTGTACAAGCATATTTATGCTTGTACACAAACATACCGATTATTTTTTAAATAGTTAGGTACATAAATTATGTACCTAACTATTTAAAAAAAATTGCAAAGTTTATCCACGCAATCGAAGAGACCCAAACAGACTTACTCTCATTAAAAAAATATAACAATAGTTGCATAGCAATGTGTGTAAAAATATTTAATAAACTACCTAATGAAATAAAAATAGCAAGTATCAGATTGTTTAAATTTAAAATAAAGTTGTATGAATGGCTGAATGAAAATAATATTTATAATATCAAAGAATTTATGTAATAGTGGTAAATTACTATTAGTTGAAATGACAATTGGAAGCATGTTTTGACGAATTAAAAGAATTAAACACAAATTTAAAAAACTACGCGACATGTCACAGAACAGAAAAATGTTATACTTATGATTGTTATGATATTGTACTTAATTAATTGGTACCTGGTGGACCGAGATTTGCTCGGTGTTTTTTTGGTAAATCATGTATTTTGCTAATAAAAAAATTAAAAAATAAAGAAATCAATGATCTGGTATGGAAAAAAAGTAAAAAAATAAGTGTGTAAATGATCGTGATACGAACCGCGGCCGTCTGTTTTGGGGCCGCTCGACTACCGACCGAGCTATTATAAAAAGGATAAGAGATTGGCAATTTATTATTTGTTAACAAATTATTTTCATTTGAATATTTGCGATGTTTTGAATTTTTTATGCGATGTGATTGTAGTGATATTTAAATGCTAAAAACTTTTGACAAATTCTATATATCTATTATTCTTTAATTCTATTTTATCTAGATATTTTCATTTTAACACCAGAACATCGTTATTATAACACTATTTATATGGTTATGTAAAATATTTGATATAGTTTTATATTAGACTCCTTAGAGTATAATAATGGTTAACATTTATATACTATACTGGGACAAAAATGTATTATTCTTTTATGTTGATTTTATTGTTTATTCTTTTTTATATTGATGTCAAATACCATTACTATATTTTTTTTAATTTAATGACTGCTTTGGAATTCAATTGCTAAAGCTAAATTTGCATGCTCTTAAACAGCTAAATAGGTTAAAGCGACAGACATGTAATTAAACGTCTTTGTAACCCTCTTTATGGCAAAGAAATATTTGAAGTTGAATTAATTTCAGAAGTTATACTTCTTTTTCATTTATATTTTAAATGAAAGCAGAGAAATTCTAAAATTGGTGCCTAAGTCGAATATACAATTGTGCAGCACTACCTGGCACCAAATTCAGCCGATCATAAATTGCTTATTGGATCGTGTTGTGATTTACATATAAATCGAAAATGCGATCGTTTTAGTACAATTTAAAGCATTCATTCGAAATGAAGAATTAATATGATGAATAAAAATTGAAGCATTGTAAGTACCTATCTAGTAATTATTTAATTGTTACAATATTTAAATTAGTTACAAACTTACGCATACATAAACGTAAGGAAGCTTAACGTATAAGAAACATGGCAAAATTATTCTATTATCATGAGATAAAATATGTATAAACTGTAAATAATTTTTATATCAGCTGTTAAATATTTTTTTAATTTTATTCCAATCACAGTGTCATTGATGCCAATTGTATTGCCACTCGGCATTTTTTTTAAATGTGAAAAGTTATTAATCGAGCAGGCGGTTCACCTGTTCTTAAGTGAATACCGCCGCCCATGGCCCATGGACATCTGCTACCCTCGAGGGTTTGCAGATGCCTTGACAACCTTTTTGAAAATTGGTCTCCGCCTACCTCCCAGACGAAACGCGAAAGTATTATACTTCCACTTTACGGTCTTCTGTGAGGTCGTGGTACTTACCCAGACGGGCCTGCCCGTTCGTGCAACAGCCGAGGCTGCTGCGGGGCCCGACCACAGTCATTGCTACGCAAGTCTTCGTTGCGTAAAATGCCTGGGAACAGTACCAACGCCGCATGCAATCACACCCAGGAAGACTCAAAAAACCGAAAGGTTGAACCGGCCATGGTCAGAGTTAGGCTCACGAAATACTCCGAAAGAATTTATCGGCAAGGAGAAATTCTTTACAATCGCAATATACAACATTTCAGGAATTTGGAAAATTATGTAATATTATAAGATATTTAATTATCTATGAAATTTACCTATGAAATTGCCGTTTTCTGAACTGGCCATTTCAAACAAAAAAAGTTTTGATTTGCTGTGAATTCTAAATTCAATTTTTTTTAAACATGAAATTATTTTTATAAAGTCAGTCTTTCGTTTTTGTTTTCGTTAACTCTGTATTTTCGTTACATTTGAACATTTTTCGTCACAACGGATACTTTAAAGTTCGTGAAATTATGGAATATGAGTGCACCACGCACCAACGCGGCACCAAAGGCAACAACGTTTACGGAGAGAACTTTACAAACAAACGCCTAACACGTTATTGGTTTCAGTCTGGAATTTTAAACTTGAAGAATGAACCACGTGGTCTATGAATTAAAGGCGATTGAGGCAGCTGATAATACTCAATCTACAGCCGAGCTAGCAGCAGCTTTTCATGTTAGTATCAAAACAATATTGGTCAATGTGAGACAAATTTGTAAGGTCAAAAAGCTTGAGAGATAGATGCCCCCCGAACTTAACGATCGGCAGCGCAACGTACCCGTCGAGACCTGCCTCGCGCTGCATAGAAATGAAGGAATTTTGAACCGAATTGTTACGTGCGACGAAAAATGGATTCTGTTAATAATCGAAAGCGCTCAGCAAGTAGTGGTTCAGCACCGAAGCAATAACCTAAACGGAAAATGACCCATTGAAAGGTGACGGTCACTGTTTTGGGGGTCTAGTGCCAGTGTAATAATTCATAGATTTTTACAAAACAGTATGAGCATTACTGCAAATTGTACTGTGAAGAACTGAAGACAATGATGGAGAAGCTCGCACATCTGCAACCAGCTTTGGTCAATCGGTCGTCCCCGCTGCTCCTTCACGACAGCGCGTGACCCCTGCATAATAGACAGTCTCCAAGCTGCAAGAGTGTTTTTAAGCCCTCCATCAATCGCCATATTCACCAGACCTTGCACCTATTGACTATTACTATGTTCAAAATTTGGAGAAATTTTTAGCAGGAAAAAAATCAATTCCCGAAAGGCAGTACAAAATTCCTTTTAAGAGTTTGTTGCCTCTCGTCAAGCCGATTTTTACCAGAAGTACATTAATAAAATACCATTGTGTTGGCAAAGATGCGTCGATTGCATGGGTGCATACTTTGAATAACAGAAATAAAAAAGTTTGAAAAAAAAAAACTTTTTTTGTTCAAAACGTTAATTCCGGTAAAGACTTAACATACTTTAAAATATCTTTTATTAACTTCTATTGAACTCACAATGTTAAAGAAGCTATCAAATGAAATTAGTATTTCTGTATTTAAAGTCAAAGAATAATTTAATATTTTTGCTACATTTACAAAAAAACATTTGTCTAATTTAGTCTGTACAAAGTTTGACGTCATCGTACCGCCATTAGTCATCTATATCTAATTATCTTATCTGTGGTACAGAGGCCAAGCGAAGCGAGTGGAGGAAATGCACGGGATTTGTACTCTGTCGAAATAATACGTCATCTCTTATTCCAAAGTGATTTCATTTATTCGTTAGTAATTTCAATTACAACAAGTATTTATTATTAAAACAGTAAGTATATCACGCTACTTCAATGTAGTACTTTTCCGTATGTTACGGGTGCGTTGTTTGGTTTATGGTGTAGTGCTATACAAATGCATAATATAACCTTTCTGCGCTTTACATAAATCTATGAGGCCGTAGCCTTGTAATTGATGCAGATGTAAGTGATGTGGATTGGAAAAACTAATTTAAATTCCAATATAGTGAAAACGTCATCAATTCAGTGTTGTTGAGCGAAAAGCGTTTGCCGCGCTCTGTGGACTGTTTATTGATGCGTCCATTGCAATTTCGCAGTCAGAATGCCGGCGGCAAGAGGGGTAAAACGGACAGCTTCTAAGTCTTCGACTACTGCAACGGCCACAGGGCCTAAAAATAAGAAAAAACGTGGAGGTAAGCATTGAGAAGAAATTAATGCTAAGTTGTTTTCTTTACATTTTTGTTCAACGTCAATGACCTGTCAAACCATGATGGCGGGAAACGCGTCGCTTATACTTAGGCTTCGTTTGGCGCTAATTACATGTTTTAACAAATTCATTGTTGTTAACCATGCATTGTTTGCATTATATATCATAGTTCACCTCTCTGTTCATATTTTTATTTTATTAAATTTTTAAATTACGTAAGATTTGTATTTAAATGAATATTTTTTGAGGTTAACTAAGTTTCTTGCCTTCTGTTGGATAATTTCCATTTATGTGCACTATACTAATTTATTGTTACGGGAATTATTAATGCTTAAGTTTGATCAATCCACTAAGTGTAACAATCGCTTCATATATTTAATAAATTAATTTATGTTGCCATAGCATACTAGACTAAGAAAGTGGCGCGCTTTCAGAATACTTCAAGAACCATGTTTAATTAAAAGAACACTCAAGAAGAAACATTTTCTTGCTATTATGAGTTCAATCTTTTCCTGAATACTATTTCATTTTTCAAACATAAATTCCCAAAACAAGAAATACAATTTATTCATTTATATGTGCTTAATATTAAATTCATTAATGGGTTGTGATATTAATGTATAAGTAGTTTTAATTTAAAAAGCATTTAGTATGGAGTCTTCCAAACAGATTTCAATTAGAAAAAAAAGTTGATATGGAAACATGTACAAAAGGCACAGATTTATTGTTAAAATGAAAAGATCAGCAATAGTAATTTTTTCATTAAATTTCTATATTAGCTTTATAAGAATTATATTTTATACTGAAAGTATTTTAATTACTTCTAGTGGCAACGAAAAGTAACCATTAAAAAGTTTAATAGTGGAAGAACAAGTTTTGTATCAACTATGTGAATAAATAAAATATTCATATATTCACATATTGACACAATTTTCTTATCATCACCGTAAAATAACTGATAACCTGTATTACTTTGCATGGGCTTTTATTATTAGTGACATTATGGCTAACATAATTATAATATTGAATGTAAACAATTTTATCTCATATTATGAATATGAAGGCTTACTTACTAATCATTTTTATTTTCGATTAAAGTATCCTAATTTTATCACAAATAGTTGTTCCCAATATCTGCTCCCTTTAATGAAGATTATGTAAAGTATTGTGTATACATAATATAAAAAGTCAATTATGTCATTCTTCCTATTTGTACTCATCATTATGGAATTAATAATTATTTTGTTATAACAACAATAAAGTTAAACGCTAAATAATCATATCAATAATCAAGTTATAAGGTAATGATATAAAATTAATAAATATACACTTATAAGACTAGTTACGTTTTTAATTTTTCAGATATATTTAGATTTTTAAGACTAGATTTGAAATTATCTTGAGATCTCAGATGCTTTTCAGTGTTTGCATTTTTCTTTGCCAATTTTAATTTGTCTTTAATGAATTTGTTACAAAGTGTTTACATACAAAAAATGACATGAAATATCAGAATAATTTCCCAAAGTGTTTTCACTTGTGTCTTTAACCCAGAAGGATATTTCTCAGTTTTGTTGAATGAAGACAAGTAGTCTAATAAAAGTTTACATAGATTTTCCATCATAGGCAGCTTCCATTTTTTTGTTGTTTCATAAGTAAAAGTTAAACAATCAATATGAGTTAAATAATTAATGAACAAATAGTTTTTCTAAATCTTCCAATTAGAATCTCATCAAAGTGACTGTATTTACAGTTAGTCACTTTGATTTAAAGAAATATGCAATGTAACAATGTTACATAAAGAAGTTCCCTATCGTTCTCTTTCTATTGTTTTTCTTAATTCAATATCGGGTATGTTATGATATTAAATTGTCTTCTCAGCAATCCAATTGGAGATCCCGAGTGCGCCTAAGAAAAGGGGGCGTGTTTTCACATGCGGGCAAGGGGATGTTGGACAATTGGGTCTCGGAGAAGATGTTGTGGAAACTACCAAGTGAGTTGAACAGACTTTCCTTTATCAAAGCTTTCTCTGAACCTATGAAATTGGTAATTGAGCACAGTATTCCTCTGTTATATTAAATAATTGTAACACTTTGAAAAGACAGACATGAAGCATCATTTCTATTCAACAGTGACTATTACCTGTTCATATTTGCAAATTTTATGCATAAGCGAAAATGGAAATATGTTAACTGATATTAAGCTAAAGTGGAAATTTACAAATCAATCCAATCAAAGAACTGGTATGCATGTAATGAAGATTCACTATATATGATCATGGTCTCATTATCTCTATTACAGGTTCAAATATGTATCAGCTCTTGGTGACAAGATTGTTGATGTGTGTGCAGGTGGAATGCACACAGTTGCCCTGGACACTGATGGCAAGGTAAACGGATTACATTAAAAGGCAAAGCTTAACAACTGCGTCACCCTAAAATGTTACTGAAAATAACTAACCATTGTCATGAACCTACGCAGATTTTTGTAAATGTGTAGATATATCAATGTGAAATGTCAAAAATAGGTGTGGTAGATTACTTTGTGTTCACATAAAAAAAAATGCAATATAGCTCTGTGAAAACAGTTTTTGATTTTGAGACAACAGAATTAGGTTTTATATACAATTTAATTAGAATCTAATATTTATGTTTGGAAACTAACTTCATGTTGAAAGTAAAACAGAAAACAAAGTTTATCATCCTAAAAGCATTAGTTTATTATTAACACTTTTAACCCCCCATAGAGAGCTCCGTGGGGGTCATTTTCACGCCATGGGGTGTATCAGCCGTTGTAGGGAAAGTGAAAAAAGTTAACCTCATAAATATAGATTAATGTTACCCGTGTTTAGCATACAAAACTTCATAAAACAGTTTATCCATCACTCTCACTCTTTGTTCATAAGCAAATGTTAGTTGACTCTTTCTTGTCATTAAGCTAATTATAATATGTAATGATAATATAAAGATTGATTTAAGTAATAACTTAGTATTAAGTTAACCTTCTTGCGCAAGAGTAATGGATTTATGCACAAATGGAATGTAGAATTTGGATATGTCTACCGAAGGGACAAATTTCAGTGTTTATTTACGTAAGTGTATAAATTATATATTTCTTTTTTAAATAAACCATATCCCCTACTTTAGGATAACATAATCCTGTGTTGTAAATATGTTTTACAAAATATTTTTCCCATGGAAAAACACCCAGTTCAGAAACAATTGTCTGTGGGTCACACAAATAATTGTCCCATGTGGGAATCGAAACAATGATCCCTGGCACCGAAGCTAATACCTTGGTAACTGCTCCGCGGGGTCATCATAACAATTAACTTAATATTTTTCCAGGTGTGGACATTTGGTTGCAACGATGAGGGAGCCCTAGGGCGAACAACCAACAGTGACAAAGACGAGGGCACAGCCAAAGCTGTAACATTACCCAGAAAGGCCGTGGCCATTGCAGCCGGGGACTCGCACTCCGCAGCACTACTCGACAACGGAGATGTATATGCCTGGGGTGCCTTCCGGGTAATGCAAATCTTTATTGCTGCTTTATGCTTATTACTGTTTTATGTAATGTTCCCTGTTTATTAGGTATTAAATAACTTGAGATATTCTTACTATAAGACTTAGTACCACACCTAGCAACAGATGATGCTTACTATTTTAATATGTATAGCTTTATATAAAGCAAATTAAACAACCTGTGGGATTTTTTTTTCATGTGAAAAGCCTGCCTGTTATTTTAATGGAAATTATTCGTCTCAGAAATGGTGAATGTCACAAACTTTAAATTTGGAACCAGTATTATGATGTAATAATATAAAATGCAATATGTTGTAGGAAAAAACTAAACTCTCGTCATAATATTACAGGATTCACACGGCAGCATGGGGCTGGTGGTGCGTGGAAGGGAGGGCAAAGCCTGCCGAGAGCCGGTCAGACTTGACATTGGAGAGACGCTGTTGGAATAGCATCGGGCGGGGATCACCTTGTCGTCTTGTCCGTTAGTACAATCTCATATTAACTGACGACAATTATACATGATTACTACTAACCAGACAAAAATATTACTGGGAAAAATGTTAGAAACTCATCCAAAAAGAGAAAATACATGTTTTATGACCCATTGAGTTAGAGTTGTAGCATATTATGTATTTTATATTTCATATTAATGTGCCTTCAATGACTTTCATTAACAGAGCCTATAATTTTGTTGACATCTTTCAGCTTTCATGTATGTAAAATATTTTATCTATTTCAAAATACATTCCTAGAGATTCTAAGCACCCCCTTATGGATGTAGATGGATGCAGGTAGTTCATGATCATGTTATGTGGCGGACTATGGAGGAAGCCTATTTTCACCAGTGAACTAAAACAGGTGAAATGATGATGATGAAAACATATTAAAATTCAACATGGTTAGAAGCTATGATACTTTCAGCTCCTTTATACACTAGTTGCTATTATGTAACGGTGGGAACAACAAACAGTTCGCAATTGTACGAATGGGCAGGTACAACCGGGCAAGTACCACAAACTCACAGAAGACCGGCGTGTAGTGGAAGTGTTACACTTCTGCGTTTCGTCTGGTGAGTGATGTACCTTTTAATAAAGGCCCCCGGCGGCCTTTATTAAAGGCATCTGCAACCCTACAAGTGTTGCAAATGTCAATGGGCGGGGGGTTTCACTTAACATCAGGTGAACCGCAAGCTGATTTACCACCTTCTCACTTAAAAAAATTGTTTGGAAGATAACTGATTACTAATGTATTTATTTACAGACAACCGGCTCTGTGTACACAATGGGCTGCGGTGAACAGGGCCAATTGGGCAGATTGTCCCAGCGATCCGCTTCAAGGGACGCTAGACAAGGATTCAGTGAGTATCACCAAAGTCATTGTTTTGCTTTCATATCGCCTTTGGTAACAAAAATTATGGAATATTACATTTAGCCGTTTTGACCTAGACAAAAATTACTTTTTTTGTCCGGGGAGTACCACAAACTTACACACGACTGGTGTAAAATAATATTATAGTTCCGTCCGGTGAGTAAGGTAAACGGAGCGTACTTTTCAAACGGTTTTCAAACGCATCTACCAACCGTCGGATGTTCCAGATGTTCATGGATGCGGTAATAACTTAACATCAGGTGAACCACCCTCAACATTAAAGAAAAAATAATGAAAATGTCAATCTCGCTGCATTTCAGGTGCGCTGCTGGCGCCCTCCAAGGTGATCCTTAAGGGCGGCGCGTCCCGCGTGTGGGCGGGGTACCACGCGACATTCGTGCTGGACGCCAACAACGACAAAATGTTTGCGTGGGGTCTAAATAACTACGGCCAACTAGGTGAGAACAACGCACCAATCTAAAACTTAACATTTATATCAGACAGATATAAACTACCCTATCTCCCAAGTTGGACCAAATTACAAATGTTTACAAAATTTGATAAAAATTGGTTCAGTAGTTTCGGAGTTTAACGCGAACATACTTCGTGAAACAAAATTTTTATATATATATATATATATATATATATAAATATAGACTAGCGGACCCACCAGATGTTGTCCTGTACATGCGACTTAAATCCGACAAAAACTTATAAATAAAAAATAAAAACGAATTCTGAACCATTGAATCTAAACTATTCTCCAATCGACCTGAAGACACACAGAAAATTTCATTAAAATCGGTCCAGTCGTTTAGGAGTTCATCACATACAGAAGAATTATGCAGCGTGTCGTTACCACCGCGACATTAAATGAACACGTCTAACGCTACTTGCCAATAATCATAAAAAAATGTTAACGTTAAAAAAAATCCATAATTAAAAAAAAATGTTTTCAAACAAACTAATTTCAAAAATTTCGTATTGCAGGCATAACGGGCGAGAAACGGAAGACGGCGATCTTCTCGCCGACGGAGTGCGACGCTTTCACCAGCGCCAACACCTCGTGGGGCTCGGTGGCGTGCGGGCAGCACCACTCGCTGGCCCTGGACTCCAACGGGCTGGTGTACGCCATCGGCCGCACGGAATACGGCAGGTGGGTGATCGAGCCCCACTCACCACCAGCCCATAGACATCCGCTCTTGAACAAAGCCCTTTATTAAAGCCCCCTCCCTACTTGGGTCTGACTCCAAGAAGTCGCTGAAAGCCAAATTATCTTTCATTGTATCATCGTATCTTTTCCATAATTAAATTTCAAATGAAATATTAAAGAATATTTTCTCTTAGCATTCACAATTACATTTCGACATCAGTCATTCTGTTTCGTCAGTAGTGATTCTTATCTTTACTGTGGTAGAGCCACGCAACAGTCGGCTCTTGCACAAATGGGCATGACGAAGCTGCCTTCTTGTGCAACATTAGAAGCAGCTGAGTAACCCTACCATAGTTAAATAAGCTAGTATACCCTGCGATTCCTATAGCGGAGCACAGCGCCCCAAGTCTTCCAGAATCGAACCCAAGTCTTCCAGATTCGCGGCCAGACGCTTTAACCACTAATCTCTCTAACGGCTGATTACCACAATGAGGAAGATCTGAACATACATTAACTTTAACTTTTTTACACATTTAAGCAGTTAAAAACTGTTCGTCTATTTTTTCCACAAACCTTGATGCTTCATCTGAATAAGGTAGATATAATATGACTAAGTTAGATATAATATACACAGCACTAAAAAATGTAAATTACATGGTACATTATCAATACTGAAGTTTGCCGTTGTAAAGCGCTACTTATATTATATAATTGTTGTATATACAGGTTAGGATTAGGCGACAGGACGGGTGACGCGGAAATACTGGAGCCAATACCGAAGCTACAGAACAAGAAGTGCGTCAACATAGCGGCGGGCACGTGCAATTCGTTTGCGGTCACCGACACCGGTAACTTTTAAACCACCCCTTACAATAGTTTTGTGTGTAATACAGTTTTTGGTGCGCTTGGGAAAAATTATGATATTATAATTTTTACGATGCGCATCGGCTGTCAATGTGCGCTGACAGCCAATGCTGATAGCCAATGCAATGCAATGCAATGTTGGCTGCAGGTCGACTAATTTCACTGTATCACCATGGCAACCAATAACAACTTTTTTACATTTATCTATAATTCCATGGTATTTAATTAAACCATTATCAATTGCATTTAATGTCAACAATACCGTTATTTGTAAATTATTAATTTTGTATCCGATTTATGCATTAATAATTAAAAAAAACTGATTGTAGGCCGAGTTAACAATGACATTCAGACGTCAGCGCAACAGTGTTCGCTGTTGCACGAATGGGCGGGTCCGTCCGGGTAAGTACCAAGACCTCGCAGAAGACCGGCGTAACGTAGAAGTGTAACACTTCTGCCTTTCGTCTGGTGAGTGAGCTAGCCGGGGCCCCATTTATTGAAAGGTGACAACGTATCCGCAAATGTCCATGGACTGCGGCTGTTATTTAACATCAGCTGAACCGGCTCGTTCGCCACTTTGTCACATAAAGAAAATGAATGTATTAGGTGTGAGACATAACGCATGGTCTCCGGCAGGCGAGGTGTTCGCGTGGGGCATGGGCAGCGAGGGCCAGCTGGGCACCGGCGCGGCGGCGGACGCGCTCGAGCCGGCGCCCGCCCACGCCGCGCCCTTCGACGGCCGCCCCGCCGCCAGGGTCGCCGCTGGGGGCCAGCACACCGCGCTGCTGCTGGTACGCACCCCATATCTCATCATCATCATCACCATAGCCATCACCGCTAAGCACGTTCCCGAGACACAGGTCGTCACTACGCCAAATAAGGGCACACCGTGCTGCTACTTTTACGCCCCGTTCATGTCATCATCATCACCGCTAAGCACGATCCCGTGCCACCTGAAACAAGTCGTCGCTTCGCCTAGTGGGCGCACACTGTGCTTCTACTGATACGCCCTATATACAGCGTTTCGTTACCATCACGACAATAAATGAACACACATATAGGGGATAACTTTTTTAAGTTGTATTAAACATTTAAATTCTTTAAACATCAATATTTACCGAGTTATTAAATTTTCCAAAACAAAGAATTTTAGAACACCCTCACCTATAAAAGCGTAATGTAAAGTTCATCTGTAGAGGTCACAAAGCGTATGAAAGGGTTGAATGAATTTAAAAGAGACAAAACATACAGTTAGAAGGAGAGGCTTGTAATACGACGCTGTGGCGCGAGTTGTATAGGATGTTACAAATTTTGTTTCTTTTTTATTTAATTAGTTTGTTTGAAAAATATTTTCTTTTAATTATGGATTTTGTTTAACTTTAATATTTTTTTATGATTATTGGCATGTAGCGTTAGACGTGTGTTCATTTATTGTCGCGATGGTAACGACACGCTGTATGTCATCATCATCACCATCGCCATCACCGCTAAGCACGTTCCCGCGCCATCTGAGACAGATCGTCACTCCATCTAGTGGGGCACACCGTGCTTGTACTGTTACGACCCGTATTAACGTTCAATAATACAGATGACGCGCGTCCATACCGCGCGGCGTTTGAAAATCGATCCGCTTTACGTCATGTGACTTATGTAAGTGAATATGACGCATGACATTGAACGTATGACAGGGAAAGAGATAGCGGTCCATAGAATTGCACCAATTGGGTTAATTTGAGTCCCTCAATTTCGGCACGCGTATCTTTGTATACAGCGTGTCGTTACAACCGCGACAATAAATGAACACACGTCTAACGCTACTTGCCAATAATCATGAATAAAAATAAAACGTTAAAAAAATCCATAATAAAAAAAAATCAAACTAATTAAATAAAAAAGAAACAAAATTTGTAACATCCTATTCAACTACAACTGACTGATTCATACATTCAGAGACTTTCATTCGTTGCCACAAGGTTGCATTACAAGTCTCTCCTTCTAACAGTATGTTTTATCTCTTTTAAATTCATTCAACCCATTCATATGCTTTGTAACCTTTACAAATGAACTTTACGTTACAACTTACAACAAACTGTGTTCTGTTACAACAAACTATCTGTCTTACAACAAAATGTCTGTTGTGACACCCTGTATAATGCTGTATCAATCGACCCGATCGGCGTAGTGGATGGTGAAAGTACACCTAGGGGCTCAATTCAATCCCCACTATTGGATCCCCACTACTGAAAAAGTATTATGTAACAATGATTTTCTAGTGTCCCGGTGCTTATGTATCTGTAGTATAATGTATTAGAAAACTGTGTCATCTGTAAATAGATCCTTGAATATATTTATAGTATATTTTTGTATTCTCTTATAGGAGGAGTCAAAAGAAACTTCACCAGCACCGGAAAGTGAAAAGGAAGAAGTAGAACAACAGCAGGAGGCGACGGAGGACAGCCAGGAGTCTGAGAAGGAGAAAGAGAAAGAGAAACCGAAGGCGCGGCCAGCGAAGAGACAGAAGAAACAAGAGCAGGATGAAGAGATATCCTCTACTTCGAGCGCGCAGGCCAGTGAAGTAGCGGAAACAAAGCCGCTGGTAAGAAAAACACATAGATACACAGTTACAATAGACATACATACAAACAATAGACAAACATACCAATTTTAGATACATACAAACATTATAAAAAACACATACATAAAATAAACAAACATACATAAAATATAGTGTCCGTTCTATCAAAGCAGTCACATCTCTGTCTATTTTTGTAATAGATTAATTAGCAACATTATGCACATAATCAAGTCTAGGGTTGGGAGAGATTATAGCAAACCAGTTTTTTCCATCAATACCGATAATTCGCTTTTATTACTATTTCAAAATATCTGTTTTAGATTAGGTTTAAAGTGAGAAAAATGTGATAAACTTTTGTCACAGTGAAAACTTTCATTTAAACAATACTATGTTATAATCCGTCACAAACCTTTTGAATTATTCTACTGAAGGCAAATACTTCTCTACCAGTAACTTGGTATTTATTTTGATGCCTTTATTAAATGGAGAAAAAGTGACTTATTGATTAATATTTATTTCATAAAAATATCATATAGTCTTTGCTGAGTTCCGACATATTGACAACAGAGATACTTTTCTATCTGTAGTGGTTAAATTGAACAAACAATAAATAATACTGTGCCGATACATCAATGAAATGGTGCATATTTTTTTTTTTATATATAATTATTCACCGCCGCGTTTAGAAAAAGAAGGCCCGCGTTGCTTCAGCTAAGAAGACGCCGAAGGGACAGCGAAGTACTGCCGACAAAAAGGCAAAGCGGAATTAGGTTCATTTGATTTCAGTCTATTTCGGTTTATTGTTAACGCTTGTCTCAAATTATAAATATGGCTCCCTTAATTTTGCAATACCTTTCTAATAGCAACAGAGATTTAAATATGCCATAATTGCTTTAATTACTTTTCAAAAGATTGTGAGAAATAATTCTATGGACCAAGAAATTAAGTGTACTTGCATTTTTTCAATATGAAATGTTTTGTGGTAAATGGAGCACAAACAATATTTATACATTTTACAAGCGTTTGCAATAAATACCAAATTTATTGTAGTACTATCAATTGAATATATTCAAGAAAAGTCATCCCAGAGTAATAATTCTTAGATTTTTAACAATTGTAGTTGAATTAACTGTAAAACAGTTTGATTTGTAGTTAAGTTAACCAATGGAAGGTTAGTTAGTGGGGGTGAAAAGTTGTTTGTCCGTCTTGGATGTTTGTGGCGTCATAATGAAAAAATAATGAATTAAATAAATCTGTTCACGTGAAATAAGTACACATTGTATACTCTATGTCATTCTGCAGAAGGTGAATGGTGATGAACAAAAAGAAACCCCTATGGAAGTTGACGAAACTGGTGAGTTTTAAAATGACTTTGTTTTATTATAAAAGTTTCGTCGTCCTCAACAATCAATGTAGATTCCACATACGTTCTAGATGACCTGTTCCATTAATAGAAAAAAAGTGTATACTAAAACCGGCCAAGTGCAAGGCGGACTCACGCATGAAATGTTCCGTACCATTATCTATAAAAACGGCAAAAAAATCGTGTCTGTTGCATGGGAGCCCCACTTAAATATTTTTATACTGTTTTAGTATTTCTTGTTATAGCAGCAACAGAAATACATGATCTGTAATATTTCAACTGTCTAACGATCACGGCTCATGAGATACAGCCTGGTGACAAATGGACAGACAGAAAGACAGCGGAGTCTTAATAATAGGGACCCATTTTACCCTTAGTGTATGGACTCTAAAAACGAGAAATTCAATAACATTAACATCTAATTCGTAAAAGGAAAAAAAGCAAACCAAATATATTTTAATATGTATAAATAATGCTTTGTGCGAATTTCGGTACAGTTATATCATTTGCGTTATTTAACATGTCTCTAAAATCGAAGATACCTATAAAGTTTGAGAAATTGTACAGAAACTAATTGCAACTGTTGTTTAATTTTTTAAGTATTATCTATGAATAAAACTCAGTCATGGTCGACAATATCTGAGATACTATTATGAATTTTAAACCGAGACTACTATATAGATAAAATATGACTTAGAATTGTAAAATGAAATACTGCATAAACTTACAGATAAAGCTGAGGACAAAAAGGACGAGGAACAAACAGCTGACACGGAGAAACAGAGCGAGGAAGCGGATAAGCAGAGTGAAGACACGGAGCCCGAGCAAGAAGAGAGCAAACCGGACACAATGGACACCTCTAGCCAAGGGACCACAGACAGCGAATCCAAGCCTATGGACAGCGAGGAGCAGAAGGACGAGGCGATGGACAGAGACGAAGACAGAGAGGAGCAGAGGGAGAGGGAAGAGGTCAACGGGACGGAGAGGGAAACGGTGGACAGCAAAATGGACAGCCTTATACCGAGCGACAACGCGCTGACCACCTCGGCGTGATGTTAGCCAACTGCAAACCGGATAGTGAGGATTTAACCGGATAGTCAACCGGGCCAAACTGCCGGGTCAAAATCACCTTAACCCGGAGACGATCCAGTGGAATAGCTGCGGACGGTCGTCGAAATGTAGGCACGCCATCGCGCGGGCAATCGCAAACGGCATAGGCAGAGTGGCAACAAAACATGCGTAAAACCTTTGGCCACTTCAGTACAATAATGAGCTTGAAGGTGTTACTATTATAACACATAATTAAAGTATTACACAAAAAAGGTGCCTAAATTTTGTGTTACCTATTACGTCATAGATATAATTATAATGTAACACAAAAAAGCGTCTTTTTTGTCATGTATATGTAGATATCGTAGGCCTTCTTGTATAATATACCATTTGGAGCCAGTTTGTTTTGTTGGTTTAGCTGCTTGACCCGTTAAACGGCGATAGGCTATAATATGAAATATGTTCACAAATATACAAAGTGGCCCTTATGCATAGCAAGAAGTTTAATAAACCGTCAGAAAGTTATGATTTGTTCTGAACGGTATTTATTTTTTTGCTCACAAATTTAACTTTGATTTAGTATCGAGGTCTGTTATGTGGCTAATTTGATAACTAAAATATAAGCTGTGGGTTGTAAAGTTTCATTAAGTGAATAGGAATTAATGTCATTGAATGATTTCAAACAAGCCAACAGACTCTGCCCTGTGTGTTGTGGATTGCTCGCTCGATGGGGTGTATTTATTTTTTTAAAGGCATTTTTTATCAAATATATACGACGGAGGCGTAACTGAATAAGGTGTGATTGCGTGGACATATCACGACCTTTTTGCACAAATAGTACGTATTTAAGAGCCATCATTGTGGGATTCTGCCAACGCCTGCGGGTGAGCATGAGTAACAAGTGGCTGTTCTCTATCCGGTTTTAGTATCCAGCTATCCGCAATTCTTAGGACTCTGCTGTGGCAGCACGGAGTCCAGTGTTCGAAGTTTGGGGTCACTCCAGGGCTTGTTTCCGTTGATAGCTGAAACATCCCTCCTCGTTACTTGTTTGTCAGTGCCTACTTGTGTGTCAGTTTTGACTGCTCTATGGTTCTTTTGTTTATGTTTTACGATTCATAAGAATATCTGTTGTTTTAGTATCGTATCTAATGAATTGATTATGATGATAATGTTAACCGATTGTAATTAATTATTACGGACGTCCATCACAGAGATTAAAATTCTAAGAGAATAGTTGACCGATGTATTGTTTTTTAAATATATTTTTTTTATTATTACTATTAATAGGTGTCGAACCGAAACAAGCTCTGCAATTTTTAATGCGCGTAAAAAAGTATTAAGACAAACTTCGAATATTCCCAGAAAAGCGAAGGCGCGCGGCCGATCGGGCGTTAGCATCGCGTTTTTAAAACGTCCATATTGATGTAAACGAGCGTTTTAAAAACGCCGTGTATTCGAAATTATTTCCACCGCGCGTTCACGCCCTGTACAATAGTATCTTTCGTAACGGTTACTTTAGTAGCCGGTATATAAATTTAGAATTGAGGTTGCTAGATTATAAATAAATAATAATTATAAGTCGAAGTAAGCGCGGACCGAGGAGAGAGAGGTGAATTGGAAAAAAAAACATCAAAAAGCATAGACAATCTAGACATAGACGACCGTTAAAGAGTTTTGTTGGAAAAAATGTTTTATTTTATATAGAATTTTTTCGTGCATGATTCTAAAAGTACAAATGTACGTTTTCTTTTCTCGCGACGCTATATTTCTTAATTGTTAAATGAAAATGAAGTATAATGTATTGTGTTTTCCTAATAAAAGCGGTAGTGTACATTTGAGTTTCATTTGGATTTAATAAGAGGCAATGGGTTAAACAATTACGTATGCGTATTGAAGTATAAATTCTACGCTCACTGAAATCAACATATGAAGTGTTGTCATCGTTGAGTCGTGATTTTAATGTTATATGTTGGAGTTCATTTGTTTTTTTTTTTTAACATTGTCCTTACTTTGGGATAACATTATCCTGGGTTGCAAAGACGTTTTATATAAATAAATTTCGTGTGGACAAACATCCAGATGCGAAACAACTATCTGTAGGTCACGCAAATAGTTGTCCCGTGTGGGAATCGAACGCACGACCCCCGACTGCGAAAACGATACCTTGGCGTATGTCACTTTTTTCACCTCGAATTATTGAATCTTATTTCATTAATATGCTTGTAGGGCTTCTATTTTTTTTTCTTACAGTTGGCTAAAAAGTTATCGGTTCATCTGTGGACATTTGTAACACGAAGAAAAAAAAATGAAAACTAGCGTTCCGTTAAAAACTCGATACCCCAGATATAGACTTCAACGAGACGTTTATAAAAAAACTTGAATAACGCAAAAATGAAGTATCACTACATTGTATAAAACAATGTCGTCCCGCTCTCTCTGTCCCTATGTATGCTTAGATCATTAAAACTACGCAACGGATCTTGATGGGATTTTTTTACTGGATACGAGTGATTCAAGAGGTTTATCTGTATAATACATTGTACCCATGCGAAAACGGGGCGGATCGCTAATATATATTACATTAAAACAAATTATATTATCCAACGTTTTATTACTGAATACATTAACAATTATTGGTGTAGTTACTTAAAATAGGTATCAAGGCTTCCACTATGTCTTACATATAAAACAGTAGCGTGTGCGTGAAACCCTTCAATTGTGCTAATTTTGGCGGGAGTTATATTCAAGATACGCAAAAAGGACTAAATAAAAAGATAAAAATACGAATAAATTGGTTATAGTACGTCATTGGTGAAGTATCAGCTTTAGAAACCAAATTAGCATAAACAAAAATGAGACTTCATATAAGAAACTTAATTGAACTAACCTAATACTAAACATAAAACCGTATGAATCAAATACACGAAAATTTGTCAAACACATTCATATTTGGCGACGTTTATGAACAAGCACACGTTTAAGTATTTCGGAAACAAGGAAACGTCTCAGTAACTAAATAGTATATATCATTACGAGTGCGGAAAGCCTGTCATTGCAAAGAGTTCCGACAAATGTCTACCTGAGCTGAGGCGCAGCCGAAGGTGAGGGTCGACAGTTGGAACAAGTTGCAATGACGGTTCCGCACGTGTACTAAATAACTATTTTTAATACAGTTGCGAAAAAATGAAGCAATTTAATGCACAGATTTTTTTTGTTTTCTTCACCCATTCTGGGTAGGCAAAGGAAACTATGCCCATACAGCCAAGTCTTCAGTAGATTTTTTTTTATTGACATGAAATTTAATGAGATGAAATGAAACTAGTCTAACTCATTGAATCAAATCATTAAATCTGATATATAAACAAATTAGTAACTTCTTTTTAGAAATATTTGCATGAATCATAAAAACTTCTATGATTTTTTTTTGTTAAACTTCGTGGTTAGTTTTTTTGACAGTTGGGAAAGAGAACGCACGAGTTCGGAAAAGGTAAAGAAAAATCTCGAGTGTGTAATAGTCCACATCCCGAACTCTATACGTCCCTGCAATACGCCACTTTTTGAGCAACTGTATTAAAATATATCTTTTTTCATCAAGCAGTAAACAATCGTAAAATTCACATTCATCTGAGTCGAAACAAAACTTAAGAAATAAGAGCGCCATTGTCCTTTGTTTCGATACCATCTATGTAATCTTTACTAATATATTTTAATTTCTTTCATTATTAAACCTCGCACCCTTCAAAACTTACCATAAAAATAAAACTGGTTCATTTAGATCTAAAACTCGCCTATATTTGAAATAGACACAAACATATCATTCTCTTATAATGGTTAGCGTTAGTTGATGCTATCGGTTTATGGAAACTCACTGCTCTTTTGGAACATAGCGCTTCTTTATATTATATATAGCTCAAAATAAGTGCTACTTAAGAGAAATATTGAGCGTCAATTCCCTTATTTTTCTTTTCACTGTTGCACACAAAGCAGCTGCGGTGGCCAAAATGTACACAATCAGCTTGCGAATAAATCAAACTGTGAAATTGAACGAGCCCATTTGGCATCAATCACTCCTCCCCAATGTCAGCGTCTTCACAATCTGAAATGAACATACGAAACATGAATAAAGTAACAGCCTATACATGTCCCACTGCTGGGCAAAGGCCTCCTCTGTACAGAGGGTATCAGGACATAGTCCACCACGCGGCCCCACTGCGGATTGGCGGACTTCACATATTTTCGAAATATTTGATTGATTGATTGATTGAATATACTTTATTGCACACAAGGAATTACAAGGAAGAAAATATCGGTAAGATAGTGTACATACAGGCGGCCTTATTGGTAAGGTAGCAATTTCTTCCAGGCAACCTTAGGGTATAGGATTAGATAATAAAGTTGCGGGATAATAGTGCAAAAATAATTACATTAATATATATGTAGAAAAATAAAATCATCGAATATAATACATATCTATATAATAACAAATACCTAGTACTATAAAATATATATATATATATATATATATATATACATATATATATAAATATACATATATATATAAATATATATAAATATATATATATATATATATATATATATATAATATATATATATATATATATAAATACACATACATATATATGCATATTTTATTTTATTATTCGAAAATATGCAGATTTCCTTACGATGTCTTCCTTCACCGCGGAGCACGTGATAAGTTAGCACATAAAGTTAAAAACTTCATTGGTGCCGGCACCGGGGATCGAACTCGGGTTGTATAGTAGTAATATTGAATCAAAGGCGAGCGCCCGGACAATGAGCTATCACGACTTATTAACATAAATAAACTTGCCTAAAGACAGATTTACACTGGTCAAGTATTAATTGAAGTAGACATGTACAGTCAGTACATAACGGTGGTGTGAACCATCAGACAGTAGCGAGTCAACTTGGCATGCAAACTGCCAAATAGAATCACTTTCTATTTTTATATGTAAGACTCTCGCGCAAAAGTGTTCGCTGTTGCATGAATGGGCAGGGTTAGTACCATGACCTCTAAGAACAACTGCGAGTAGTAGAAGTGTAGCACTTCTGAGTTTCTTCTGGTGAGTGAGGTAGCTGGGGCCCACTTTATTAAAAGTAGGCAACGCATCTGGAACCCTGCGGGTGTTGCAAATGTCCATGGGCAGGTGGTTATCACTTAACATCAGGTGAACCGCCAGCTCGTTTGCCACTTTCTCACATAAAATTAATACTGTACATCAATGTGTAGTGGGGGCGGCACAGAAAACGACATGAAAACCAAGAGAGCAATAGTCCTCACTTCCTATCTTAACACCCCATTCACAGACAAATCATTCTTGTCACAGTCCATCCAAAGCTTTCTCTGTCTTCCTCTAGCTTTGCAGAGATGTAAAGCAAACACATTTATATTCATCGCTCTTCTAGTCACACGACTTGCTTCCCTTCTCATGATGTGCCAAATACCATGCCAAAATAATTATGAAAGTAATTTTATATGTATATATAGTATATAAACCTTGGTAATGCGCTCCATTGGAGTTGTCCAAACGCAGTTGCCTCAAGCGATCAGCCGGAGCGGCCTCGATCTCTTCCGCATCCTCAAACTCCTCTTCGCCTGCAATATGTAATCAGCACATTATATATTGCATAGTACATTAACAGCCTATAAATTTCTCACCGTTGGGCCTCCAGCTGGCCTCCTCTGTACATAGGTTATTAGGGCATAGTCCACCACGCAACCCCACTGCGTATTGGAACACTTCACATATCTTAGAAATATATCGTTTTTTATTATTTGGAAAATATTCCGCTGAGCATATGATAAGTCAGCACTTAAAATTAAAAATTAACAATTTTATTGGTGCTTGAATGAGTTTCAATTTTAATGAGTACCTGGACATTGACGTATCACCAATTTTCAGTATTTTTTTCGACTGTATAATTCTTGAAAATTGATACAGTCTTAAATAAATTGAATGTTGCTACAAAAATGGCTGTAGTCGTAATAATGTAAATGTGAAAGTATTTTATTTTAACATCTTTGCGCATACATACCCTCGTCAAATTCCTCCCCATCAAGGTATGGGTCCTCGTCATCAACTTCATCTGCTGGATCGGGATGTAGAGATTGGCCTTGGCTCATCGCTGCATACATGGCTGATAGATCGGCCTCATTCTGCGGTATAAATCTATAAAGGATACCAAAAGTATTTTATCCTATATTCTAAGCTCATAAGAGTCAATGTCTTGCTCCTCTTAGTCAAAAGTGAGAGTGCCTTTTTATCTTCTCATCTCGTTTTTTTTGAGAAGATATCAAATTAATAGTATATCATCTGATGGTATGTGATAACTAGCAACCATGGTCCTTTGATACACCAGTGGATAAGTATACCTTTAAGATAGTTGCCACTAGTTAAATGTAGGATATAAAAAAGAAATAAAAATTAGTATGTTCTGCACAGATCGTCACAAAAATTACTATTTTTAAAACTGGAGGTAGCCCCGATTAATAATCACACTCACACATCCAAATGCCTGCGTCTGTCCCATGACCATGAACGCTGTAAGGGGGTCGAAACGTCGGGAATTAAAACAAAAAATAAACGCAATAAATCTGCAAACGTAGTTTCATTCAATATTGTGTAATCGTGTAAATATAAGAAATTATTAAAACAAATAAAATGACAAAAAATAAATACTGCATAAAAGAAAATGCAATAAAGATATAAACCGAAACAGGAATGCATTTTATGAAGCATCCTAAACACATTCACATTCTCAGAGGCTTTGAAGAACTTCCATAATAGAGACAGTAATGCAGCAGTGTAAGTCACTGTTTAAATCCACTACAGTGAGGCATTGTTTATATTTACAATATCCATCCTAGCAGATAAAATCTTCAATCATAAGACTATCAAATCATAAATACTACATATACATATAAATATCGAGCAAATTTTATTTACTTTTCCTATACAAAATGTTACTAAGATACAATTGCTGATTGTCTATGAAAGCATAGGCATAAATTCCATCTTGACATTTCAATTAACACCTATTTGCTACACACATTAGAGTGCAAACTTTAGTTACATTTTCAATGTTGAATGAAACATGTAACCAAGAAGCAGATACATAACTCTTTGTTATATAAAACTATCTTACATTAATTTATTAACATAAATTATTACCATAAATAAAATTAAATCATCAATAATCAAAATCAAAATTAAATGCAATAAAATTAGTAACGCACTATCTTTTAACAAAACACAAACTAAAGTATTTGATTGCTTATTTTAATACATGACAGAAAAAATACATTTATCAATGAAACCTATGAATTTATTAAAAAATATACCATAATTAATAGTAACTCGGAAAACATGCCAATTTTAAATTTGCTGATTTAAATTTGTGATTCTGAAATTGCTTGATTGTATTTTGTATAAAAATTGACTCAAGTTGGAACAAAGCATATTCAACCTTACCTTAACTGGGTGATGGGTTGATCATCTGCATCAAAATCATCATCGTCATCTTCACCAGCATCGCCACTTGACTGAGTTAGTTCAGGCAATCTGGAATAATCCATAAACGTAATAAGCCTAAGTATGTACATAAATAAAGTTTTTATATTTGGGCATATTTTGAGAAAATTTTTATACATGAGTCAGCGGGAGTGAAATCAAAAGTGAATGCATTACTTTTAAATGAAGGTTTATATGATATCTGAAAGAAACATCTGTGTTTTCACCTGAGCTCGTAATTCAGCACCATGTATAATGCCGGCGATGGTTCCTTTTGCACTGCATGTAATGAGATACTGGGGTACAGCAGCGAGATTGTAGGTGAAGGGCCACCGTTACTGCCCACACCGCCACCCCAAACAACATTGCTGTAAAATATGTCACAGTTTCAGCTGTTTACAACAATACTTCCTACAGTTCTCAAGGCAGTAATTATTATCATATATCATATACATTCTTATACCAACAGCCTTAGGAAAATAAATATAGAAAGCAATAAATAGATCGAAACATAAATAGTCTTGTTTATGGTATCTATTAGAAAAAAATATTTTTTTCAAGTTTAATAACATCGCAATAACATTTGAAATTAAGATACACGCCAATAAATAGTCTTTTATATTCTTCTATATTTAATAATAAAAACATTAAATCATACGGTATTGGAACATATCGAAATTGTTTATACAATAATAATTAAATGTCTAATGGTCAATCAAACTAAATTTAAGACAGCTCTGTAACAAAGGAATAATTATAGACTCACTTCTGAGTAATGTACAATGTTGCAGTTCCTAATTCTTGGTCGTTTACAAGCAATTTGGTTGATGGGCTTTGCATAATAATACCTTCCGCCGGTACGGAAAACGGAGGCGAAACCACTACCATTTTGAGACAAGCGATGTAAATATTTGTCCAAATATTATGACTATTGTAATAGGCGGTATATGTTCAGTAATATCTTCACTATTTATATTTAGCACACGTGTTATTACAGTAAAAATGAACAAACAAAATAAATTCGCCCAAAAACACGTTTCGTTCTATTGGTGAAACATAAATTGATCATAGACTAAAGATCATGCTAAATAAAAAAAGATTGTACAGATAGCGAAGACACGCGTCACATTAAAATCGTAAAATCACATCCTTTTTCCCATCTATTTTAAGCCTATTAAAATGCAATGCATACTGAAACACTAAATTAAACCTAAATCGCAAATTTTATTATTAGTCGACGATGCATAAATCTGTGTATCTTTCGCCACACAGTGGTTTTTTTTTTCCGAACCGGTAGTCGTATTTAGACTATTATTAAGTAAGCGTAATGCTTGTTTATTGAATAAAGTTATTTGATTTGATAATTTTAAGAACTAGAACTACTACTAATCCTAATTCGATTAGTAATAGTTCTAAATTATTAGTAATAATGATTTACTGTTCAATCATAAGTCTACCAATAAAATTGAAGCATCCATTCGGGAAAACTATATGTCTGACACACAGATAATTGTTTCACATCTAGGTGTTAAATAGGAAAATGTTGACTTACAGTTAGGGCAATGTAAAAAAATACGCGTACATAAGTTCAAAATTTGTGTTATTTTGAAATTATGTACGAACGCGAGAAGATATACTTCTTAAAAAAAGAAAAATAACTAAAAATTTTATCCCCACTTCCAGAACTCTTTGTTTGTGAAATAGACATTAAATACAAATGATAACGGTTTATAATAACTTGAAATTATGGTTGAAAGTTAAAAGGTTTTTATAGTTTGGTGGTTGAAGCTGATTGAATTTGGTCGTTTGCAACCAAATTCATCATGTTGCTTATTGGCTATCGGTGTGTGCGCGTATTGTAAACATTTTACTCACATATTTTTTTTTCAAACGTGCGTTTCTTGTTTTTTTTTTAAGTTATTTTTTTCGAAAACTGAACAGTTCACGCCGCAAGCTATATTTCGCTTTTGTCGTTACTAAAAAAGAAAGATGCCTGTGACAGTTGTCTTGTCTTTGATTTTTGAAAACAAAACATTTCAAAACAATTTCAAACTTTCAAACATGAAAATGAAGATTTGTGCCAGTGAACCATACCAACCATTTCAGATATATAAAAGTACTCTTTGCAGTGAACTGGTAAGTAAATTGAATGAAATAAAATAATATTTACTCAGAATATAATATATACATTAAAGTTTAGACTAAATATTATTTATATGAAGTTAAGAATTTGTTTTTTTCCCTTAGAGACAAATTATCCAGTGGTATCTTATAACCTACTCGCATTTAGATAGCTTTCAGTTTTTAAAAAGTTCTTGATGAAAAATGACCAAAAATGGCCATAAACTGTTTATTTTCCTATCGCGTTTATGAAATTTCATTTCAATGGAAGAGTCATTACAGTTACATTTCGAAAATAGGTATTCAGTTCAATTTACTAATATATTAATATTCTTCTTCTTCTTTCTCCTGCCCTTAAATTACACTAGCGGGGTCGACACAACATGTCCTTTCCATTCACTTTCATCTATCAGTTGTCATCTCAGTACAGACCCCTTTCAAAGGTATATCGTTCCTCACACAGTTCATCCAAATCTTTCTCGGCCTTCCTCTAGATTTGCATCCTCCAACCATATTCATATTCACCACTCTTCTAGTCACATGACTTTCATCCCTTCTCATAATGTGCACATGCATGTCAACCTATCACTCCTTATTAATATATTAATATTAAAGATTTAAAATTAAAGTAGAGAATATTATAGAAGCTGAAATGGTCTTTAATGGGACCACACATTTGAGAACTCGCATAGCTTTAGACAACCAAACATAAGTGGTATTTGTTATATAAATTCGAGATTTGTCTGTTAAGTGAAGTAACTGGGTTTAGCACCTTTTAAGTGGGGACAAAGACAACTGTAACTCCAAAAGAGTTGTGGATGACTATGGACGGCAGTAGCAATTTAACATCTGCCTTGTTTTCACATTAAAAAATTAATTATTTATGACTCATGATTGAAGTGTAATGTATTACTTTTATAACTTTATAGATATGGATAAATCTCTCAAATAATACAAAAAGGTAAGAAATTGATTTTAGGCCTAAGATGGTTTTATGATGATATTATGGACTGGCCAGTTCATAAACTGGCCAGTCCATAATTATTTACCATCTGACCTGATGACATTTTTTTTAAATTTCAATTATAGGCAATTGCTCTTGATAGGAAACAGAGGAATCACTGTCTTCAGTATTGGAACCCATATGCATGCCTCTACAGTTTGTACCAAAGCTTACTAAATTGCGGTGATTCTTAGTTGGACATATTATTAAAAATGTGCTTGCTTAATACTAGGTGGCACTCAATGATGAGATGTTACAATTATGTCTTAAAGAGTCTTAAAAATGGCCATGAACACTTCTCAATCTGAAAGTTGTCATTAACACATTTATAACTCAATAAAATTTAAGATAAAACATGTCTCATCTTTTAGTCACATGGGTGAAGGTTGATTTCACAGGGGTGACCAGCATGCTCTATCTTAGCATCTTCTGCCTCAATTAAAGCATACAACCCCGAAGCCCCCTCCTCCCTCTGCGTATTAATAAATGTTTAATTGGTAATGTACGCCAGTGTTGTAACTAGGATGTAGAAGTACCTGTTACCCACCTGGTAAAGGGCGCAGAACCTGGAGGGGTGCATTGATTAGACCAGGGCCAACTTTTGGGACATACATGGTAGAATTCAGATGATAGATTTATTTCAATAGACATTGTCCCTTTTATTGTCAGAGTCGGATAAGATTAAAACACTTTCCAAGGGCGCAGTTATAGGAGCTCTCACCAGCCGCATTAAAATCGCCCTTTATTACGCCCTACTTGTGCACTGATGAATGTGATTTTTCACAAGCATATTTGCTACCATCCGTTCGATATTTTTCTCATTCCTCGCTATTGCATTTTAAACGTGCAAAGGGCGCTTGCTTTTTATTAGCGCGCAGACATTGCGTGCCGTTTAACGCTAAACACATTACAACAAGCAAATATGCTACTGTATAAAATACGGGTTCAACACTATGACTGTAAGACTTACGAACTTCTTGTTTATTCAATGTACTTAGGTTACCGACACTAAGTTGTAAGTGGCCTTAGTACATGGAGTACTGTTCTCATCTTAGGACTGGAGCGCCCCAATACCAACTCTTTCCATTTGACCGAATTCAACGAAGGGCTGATCGAATCCTTTCCAAACGTCTCGACTTCTTTGGCCTTGCGAAGAGATGTTTCATCTTTTTGCGTTTTTTATCGAATCTATCAAGGGGAGAGTTCTGAGACTTATTCGAATCAATTCGTGCTGAAGAATTTTGCCGCCGTACGACGTGTCAAACTTTCAAATACCCTCGCTACCACCTCGATTGTTGGCAGTCCACAATGTGCGTTTTTCGCGTAACTTTCTGCCACGCACAACCAAGTTGTGGAATCAGTTGTCGCCAGTGGTATTTCCCAACCGATACGACCTTCACAACGAGAGCCTATTCCTTCCTCAAAGGCCAGCAACGAATTTGTGACTCCTCTGGTGTTATGAGTGTCCATAGGTGGCAGTGAACACTTGCACCAGGTGCAAAAACCGAAGGAAGCGAAAAGGGGTTGGCCACCGCTGCGACGTATGTGCCGAGGAGACGGCCCAGCAGGCACTGGAGGAGTGCCCAGCCTGGCGGGAGCAGCGACGAGAGCTGAGAGCTATCGTGGGGCACGATCTCTCGTTGCCTGCCGTGGTTCGCGCTATGGTGGACAGCGAGAGGTCGTGGAGTGCTGTCCTTGCTTTTTGTGAGGACATAATCACCCGGAAGGAGGCCGCGGACAGGTAAAGGGAGGCAACTGCCACCCTGAAAATCCGCCGCCGGAGACCAAGGCGCAGGAGGCTGGCCTATGCGCGCAACCTTCCCCCCTCATAGCAAGCCCCGGGGCGGCAGATGTGGGACTAACTGCTGCCCCGCGGAGGGCTCGAGAGCAGTGCCGTGTTCATTGCACCGACTCGGCACCATTTGGCTGGACCGGATGTCCCTAACACCCGGGGAGAGGAGGCCTGAGAAGACCACAGTCGCGCCGGGGTTCGCGGAAAATTGGGTTTTCGTGTTCCCTTGTCCCCGCCAAAGCGACAGCGCAGGTGCAACGTGGGTTTTTTAGTGGGTACCCCGTAACTCCAACATACCACTGCTACTATTCCACAAGGCGGCGGGGTATCCATAAAGGATTTTTCCCACGTAAAAGGTGCACAACTCGTAGGGTTGCAGATGCGTTACCACCATTTAATGAAGTGGGGCCCCGGCTATATGGCTGACTAGACGAAACGCAGAAGCATGACACTTCCACATTACGCCGGTCTTCTGAGAGGCCATGGTACTTACCCGGACGGACCTGCCCATGCGTGCAACAGAGAAGACTGTTGCGTTGCCCTACCACACTTGATCCTCCGTTCTATTACTGATTCTGATTAAATTTTCTTCCAAACTATGCTTCTTCTTAACCTTCACTTCTACATAGCTAGCATAATTTTATAATAACAATAACAATTAATTTTTAATTCTTTGTAAATTTCCATTTTGTGGTTTTCCAATGAAATATCACGAAGCGTTTCTAGAAACTAGCGTATGGCACGCTAGTTTAGATGATGATAAGACGATGTGTTGTGCTGTGTTATGGAAAGCCATCAGCTGCTACGCCGGTTTCCCACTACCTAGTATGTGGTTATTGCGGCCATTTTTGTCGTTAAAAGAACATTTCTTACAGTACCCTCAGGGATTATCTATCTTTCATTTGGTGTAAGTAGTTTTAAAAGTTGCCAAGCGAGCAGACGGTTCACCTGATGTTAAGTGAATACTGCCGC